TGGTATTTTCTGTTTTAAATAAATGAAAAACATTTGTCCAGCACAGGAAATTGCCTATTAACATTCATTTTGTTTGCCCCATCCCACAGAACAAATGTGCATGTACTTTCACTGGGGAAACTGCTATGTATTTTTTAAAATGCACCCCTAGATAAATGTCATGGAAAGTAATTTTTTAAAATGAAAAAAACTCTAATCACCTACTTAAAAGGGTATTATGATTTGTTCCTCTGCTGGCAAGTACAAGTATGAATCATTTATGGACTTTATCAGAACATTGTCATTGACTCTTATCAAAAAAGGCAATAAAAACACAAAATACAAAAATACCTACTGACTCCATGGTCAGAGAAAAAAAATTAATAAATTTTTTCACAACATAGCATTCACTTGTACAATATATCACATAAAAAAATAACTAACATGCACATAAAATATAATTTAGAAGCAGCACCAAAATGCTTAATGCTCTGTATATGAAGAACAAGGGTGTGCTAAACTGAAAGATTCATATATACAGTTCAATTCAGGTAATATTTCCATAGGAAAAAAAACAGTATTATTTCAGTTGAATAAAAAATCAAAAACTGAAAACAAAAGATACAGTTTAGTAGAAATCATGAACAAATAATGGTCCATATTTGACATTGTAATTGTTTTAATGGTTATCCAGATAATTACTGTTCCACTGCCAGGATCTTACGTGTGTTTGTTGGATGGAGCCACTTCAGCTACCCAAAAACAGTAATCCAAGGAAAAAACAGGTACCCAAAATGTGTACCTGACAAAATACACTCACCAACCACTTTATTAGGTACACCTGTTCAATTGCTTGGTAACAAAAATTGCTAATCAGCCAATCACATGGCAGCAACTCAAGGCATTTAGCCATCTAGACATGGTGAAGACAACTCGCTGAAGTTCAAATCGAGCATCAGAATGGGGAAGAAAGGAGATTTAAGTGATTTTGAACGTGGCATGGCTGTTGATACCAGATGGGCTGGTCTGAGTATTTCAAAAACTGCTGATCTACTGGGATTTTCACCCACAACCATCTCTAGGGTTTACAGAGAATGGTCTGGAAAATATCCAGTGAGTGGCAGTTATGTGGATGAAAATGGCTTGTTAATGTCAGAGGAGAATGGGCAAACTGGTTTGAGATTATAGAAAGGCAACAGTAACTCATGTCAATATGGACCAAAATCTCTGAGAAATGTTTCCAACACCTTGTTGACTCTATGCTACCAAGAAGTAAGGCAATTCTGAAGGCTAACGGAGGTCCAACCCAGTACTAGCAAGGTGTATCTAATACAGTGGCTGGTAAGTGTATATTAGGTCTGGTCCTATGTCATGGTTGTTCCATGAAGGCTGTATTGGGTGTGTGGTGTTTCTTTGGGAAATTGTCATTGTGTGCCTTACAGACACCAGCATGATAAACTAATGTTACTCCACCTGAGGGATCATTGTATGTTTGTCTTTTACATATCTACATATAGCTGTAGACCTCCAGGCAGATATAGAAATCTTTCAGAGCTGATTCACACATGTGCGGTGCTGATTGAAGCTCAGGTTTCACAGCTAATTGATACAGAGGTTGTTCACTGGTTCATGTCAGGTTCAGGACAGGATTATTGCAGGATTTTATCCTGTTCGCACATGTGCGGTTTATAAACGGTTCCCATAGAACTCAATAGCCTGTAATCCGCCCCGCAACCAGACCACACTGCTCATAAATCGGACATGACTCTTTTTAAAGCCTTACTGAATCTGCGCCACCAGTGCACCAGACATATGTGAACAGGCACCATAGGAAGCAATGTTCTTTCACATGTCACGCGGATTGGATGCAGTTCAAACCACATCCAATCCGCATATATGTGAACCGGCACTAAGTATAAGTGTGAAAAGCACCTTTAGGCCTCATTCACATCTAAACATTTGGGATTGTGGGAAGAATCGCTGCAATTCTGCCCATAATTCCAAATCGCACGGCAATCTCAGCACAACATGCTGCACGCATTTTTAAAACATTACACCAATCCTAATGCAATTCTGCCACTATTGTCAGCAAACCACGCCTTCACAAATCACATGAAGCTTGTCACCTGCAAAGGAGCAGGAGCTTCTTTTCAGGCAACAAAAGCACATAGGACAAGATTCAAGTGAATGGGCTGCCCTATGTTACATGCAGAATCACGTGAAAATTGCATGACAAAATCGCGTAGCGGGATCAAGTGTTGTGTGAACGGGGCCTTAGGGTGACCTCATTGTGCAGGAAAATGTAACTGTAGGAAGTTCCCTGCAAGTTCAGATTCCTAATTGATTTGGAATGTTCATGTTTAATTTATAACCATAGAGAATATCCATATCCGTGGTTTAAACAACAAATGGGCTCTTTCACATGGACGGCAGGGGGAGGTTAAAACAGGCAACTGAGCTGTTTTACAGCCCCCCCCCCACCCAAACTGTAACAATACAACTGGATGGGGTCCTACACATGCTGCAGTTGGGATGCTTTGCTTCACAGCAGCAGTATTTTTAACTCAGGCCGCAGAGTCTGACAGGCGGTAGCGCCTGTCAAACTCGGCCATTGAGTTCTATTGAGCCACTCTGCACCCACAAGCCAAATGCTTGATTGGCAGTTGTGGAGAAAAGTAAAAAATGGGAATTAGAAAAAAAAAGAAAACAGGAATTTAGGAAATGGCAGTAGTGCTTCCTGCATGCCTGTCAGCCACTGCTATACTACCCTCTTAAAAGGGATCCACCACAGGTTGGTTTTCTGAGGGTGGTCAGCTTACCGCAAATGTGAAAGAAGCCTAAGGGCTCGTTCACACTTGGCTGTTTTGCCAACGCTTGCCAAACGCCCCTATAGCGTTTGGCAAGCGTTGGTCCGGCGTTTGCCGAGCGTTAATAACGCCCCACAAACGCCTATAATGCAGTTTGAGTGGTGTTACCGCTCCGCAACCGCACCGCAAACGCCGGCCGGGCGTTTGCAGAGCGGCACATAGACGAGAATAGGAGGCTTCAACGCCTCCTGACTCGTCCAGAGGCGTCCGTTTTGCCGCGACGCAACGCGACGTAAACGCTCCCATTAGAACAGCACCATGTGCTGTAATGTGCAGAATTGGCAGAGGCGTTTGGGAAGCGGTAAAAACACTTCCCAAACGCCTCTCTGCCGCATGCACACAGCGCTAGTGTGAACGTATCCTAATAGTCTAGTAATAAAACCTGATTCCAGAGAAATTCTCCTAAAAACATGGACCACACCAGTACCAATGTGGGTGTCAGCTAAAGTATTTTAAAAGCAGTGAAAATGACAATTACCAAACATTCACTGCAGGTGACTCTACCTGGTGCATGTGTTTGAAATGACAGTAATTAACTCACCAGAAGAGAATGCTTCATTTAAAAAGTCTTTATAAATATACCCATTAGAGTTCTAATATGATGTTATTCAATACCAAGTTCTATAATTATTACAGCTACTCCTTTCTTTGAATCCTGTTATTTCTTCTAATCTGACAATAAAGTCATTAAAATGAAGCAAAAGAAGATGTTATGGGGGATGCTGATAGTGTCTTAGTACATAAAGGAAATGATGTATTTCCTGACTAGAAAGATATTAAGCCTGCTTATGAATACAGTGAAATGATGCTCCAAATTTGCAGCTTTCCTGCTAGTAAACATAATGAAGTGTGTACATTTTGACACTACAGAATATTTAAATCTTATGCAGTATAATCTCAAGGCATGTTCAAGGTCCAGCAGTATAGCACTGATCTCATTTGTAAAAAGGAGAAAAGAATGTATATGCATCAACAGAAATTCAAAGATCAGGACCTGATTATATTAGCTATTTCACATATGACGCACCCTTAAGGTTTAATAATAAAACCAAGAAAGCCAGCTTCAACAGCCAGCTATGTAAGGCACACTTCTAAAGATTTATACAAAGTACCAGGTTGTGTGTTCACTTCTAAATAGTACCACAAGATAGCTGATCAGACAAAATGTAGCTTGGCCCAGTAAACATTTCCTTTTATGTATGCCATCTTCACAGAAATCACCAATTAGTTGCACAATACATAACCATAGCCAGCAAAATAACTTCTATCAAATAAAGCAAAAAAAGAGTGAATATGGAAACTCTGCATTGCATAGCTGCATTGTGAATAAACAGTAAATTGAATTCATTTTGTCTGTTTCTATCCATCTGTTGGTGTCATTTTGAAATATAATTCCAAGTAAAACCCATCATCATCTGAAAATATATATTCACCAAGATTTCAGGCCTCTGTGTATGTCTCTCTGTCCATAAGGGAACCTTTGTTAAACAGTACAAAAGGGATGCACACAACCTGGATTGTGTCTGTTATGCATTCTATTAACTCAAAGGGAGTTCTTCAAGTGTCTGTTGTAGAACTAAAAATCAGAGTCCATATCCATGAGTTCAGCATCCATGAGGTTTGCTCTGGAATGCATGGGGGGGATCTCTGCTCTTCTAGTTTGAGTCCTGTCATTGCAGGGACCATGTCTTGTGGAATAGGATGGGAGATTCCCATTCGAGTACTGAAATACACCATCATGCCTTGGATGAGGGATAAATTGAACACCACTATACTGAGCTATAGGGAGCTCATCAGTGGAGTAAGGATGTGAAATAAAATTGGCATGAGTGTATTTTTTGTATCCATGATGGTCATTCATATTCTCCACATGATACAATCCGTCATTAATAGGTGGCCATCGCTTATATTCTCTGTATGATCCTGGAAGGGCTTCTTCAAACTCCTGAGGTTTCACTGTCCTGGTCACTAGACCAGGCTTAACCGGCAGCTTTGGCAGACGAGGCACTGCTGTTGAAGCCCTTGTATTATAGTTTTCAATTCCTTTACTTTCATCCACTGGTCTGACCTCTTTCTTCTTTCTCTTTCTCTTTTTCTTAGTTTTCTTCTCCAGTCCATAAGGATTATCAGCATTTAGCAGCCAAAAGTGTTCTCTCTCTCTTCAGGAGGCACTGCAGGAAAAAGTGATAAAAATGGCACGTTTTTTAAAGTTTGCAAATCTATTGGCTCTTAGCTAAAAAAAAAAAAAAGGATTCTTACTCCGCTGTGTTAGTTTTGTGCCCAAGGAGTGCAATCTTATAATGGATATGTAATGTGTAGTATAACCCTTAGCAATCCTTTAGATTCCGTTTTAATCAATGATAAATGAAAGATTAAAGTGGAACTTCACTCCCCCTCTATTTTTTAAAGCTCCCCTTACCTGTTATGCTGGGTTGTCCTTGATTCAGATACTCCCCTGCCCAGCAAATCCAGCGTTGTCCTGCTGCTTCTGCTACTCAGGTGTCACAGCTCATGTATTATGCTGCCATCTTGATCTGCGTCAGTCATGAGAAGCCAACTGCTTCTTCTTGGTTTGGACACATGGCAACTCCACCCACCAGTCCTTGAATGTCCCTGCTCTTGCAGCCTCCTTAGATATGTGATGAGGATAGGGTTGCCTCCTCCCTTTAAAAGCAAACATATTAAATACACAGGTTCTGTGGCTAATTAAGGTGGTAATTGAACTCACTTGGTGCTTTATCTGCATTAAATTAGCCTCAGAACCTGTGTAATTATTATGTGTTCGGGTTTAAACGGATGAGGTAGCAACCCTAGATGGAGATATCCCAGGAGGCTGAGGGAATAGGCACACATGTCTCTGAACCAAAAGTAAAAAAAGGAAATTAGACAAAAGCAAAGAAACCATAAAAAAGTGGAAAGGGGAGGGGAACCAGAGAACCAAAATGGATCTGGAAGGTGGAGGTCCACTTTAAATTTGATTAGGGGGTATGGGTTCCTGTATTTGCCTTACTGAACAAGGCCCCTTTCACAGGAGTGTTCCGATCGGGTAGGCCTGTCCATTTTTCAGGCACACCCGACCAAAATCTCCATTCTCCTCTATGGAGTGGTGGGTGTAAACAGTCATGTGTCCCTTTACACCCACCTACATCCAATCCAATCTGCTAAAAAAAAGTATGGGGATCCCTTCCATCTGGCCAGATAGGATGGCCTGTTCAGTGGAGATCAGCAGACAGATCCCCTGCTGAACAAGCGGATTGCAGGTGGAATCTGCCCCATGTGAACGGGGCTTAAGACCATTAGTAACAGATGTAAACAAAACAAGAAAGCTAAAAAAAAAATAATAAAAATCACTGTTTACACAAAAAATTATATCAATTAATTATTGTGCTTACCTGGAGTTGCCACTGGAGTTACAGAAACATCTTGAGGCAAAATGGCTCCTCTCCTGGCAACCATCTTTGTGACATGCTGTGCCCATGCCGAGGACATGTCAGCAGATGGCTCATTAATGTCAAAGTTAAGACCCGCTGAGGAATAAATGAAACAAACTTAGTGACTTCACCCATATAAATCAATGACTAACTCAATAGGACATTATTATCTTTTTTTTTTTTGTAATAAGCTATCAGGTAGAATTTCAAAATTTCAAAAGTATGGGTAAGAATGTATCCTTGTGTACACCCATCATATGTTCTATACATCATTTTTTATTTTTGAGCATTAGAGGTCAGGACAGATTATTATTGCTATTATTCCAGGACACTATGTTCTACAAAATGTGCTTAAATATACTTTATTATAGGAATATACAATGAGGAACAGAAGTATTTGAACACCCTGCGATTTTGCAAATTCTCCCACTTAGAAATCATGGAGGGGTCTGAAATTCACATTGTAGGTGCATTCCCACTCTGAGAGACAGAATTAAAAAAAAAATTCAGGAAATCACATTGTATGATTTTTAAAGAATTTATTTGTCTTGCACTGCTGAACATAAGTATTTGAACACCTGAGAAAATCAGTGTTAATATTTGGTACAGAAGCCTTTGTTTGCAATTACAGAGGTCAAACGTTTCCTGTAGTTCTTGACTAGGTTTGCACACACTGCAACAGGGATTTTGGCCCACTCCTCCACACAGATCTCTTCTAGATCTGTCAGGTTTCGGGGCTGTCGCTGAGCAACACAGAGTTTCAGCTCCCTCCAAAGATCTTCTATTGGATTTAGGTCTGGAGACTGGCTAGGCCACTCCAGAACCTTGATATGCTTCTTACGGAGCCACTCCTTCGGTTATCCTGGCTGTGAGCTTCGGGTCGTTGTCATGTGGGAAGACCCAGCCACGACCCATCTTCAATGCTCTGACTGAGGGAAGGAGATTGTTGCTCAAAATCTCACAATAAATGGCCCCATTCATCCTCTCCTTAATATAGTGCAGTTGTCCTGTTCCCTTCGCAGAAAAGCACCCCCAAAGCATGATGTTACCACCCCCATGCTTCACAGTAGGGGTGGTGTTCTTGGGATGCAACTCATCCTTCTTTTTCCTCCAACACGACAAGTGAAGTTTAGACCAAAAAGTTCTACATTGGTCTCATCTGACCACATGACTTTCTCCCATGCCTCCTCTGGATCATCCAGATGGTCATTGGCAAACTTCAGACGGGCCTGGACATGTGATGACTTGAGCAGGGGAACCTTCCGTGCAATGCATGATTTGAAACCATGACGGTGTAGTGTTTTACCGACAGTGACCTTTGAAACTGTGGTCCCAGCTCTCTTCATGTCATTGACCAGCTCCTTCCTTTTAGTTCTGGGCTGATTCCTCACCTTTCTTATCATCAGTGATACCCCACGAGGTGAGATCTTGCATGGAGCCCCAGTCCGAGGAGACTGACAGTCGTCTTTAGCCTCTTCCATTTGCTAACAATTGCTCAAACAGTTGATCTATTTTCAACAAGCTGCTTGGCAATTGCCCCGTAGCCCTTTCCAGCCTTGTGGAGGTCCACAATTTTGTCTCTGGTGTCTTTTGACAGCACTTTGGTCTTGCCCATGGTAGTAGTTGGCGTCTGACTGACTGTGGGGTGGACAGGTGGGGTGGACTGACTGTGGGGTGGAAAGAGCTCAGACAGGTACTACTAAGTTAGATTAATGAGAGGAGTACAAATGGACTTTTTAAAGGCACAGTAACAGGTCTTTGAGAGCCAGAATTCTTGCTGTTTCTTAGGTGTTCAAATACGTATGTTCAGCAGTGCAAGACAAAGTCTTTAAAAATCATTTCCTGAATTTTTTTTTTAAATTCTGTCTCTCTGTGAATTTCAGACCCCTCCATGATTTCTAACAGGGAGAACTTGCAAAATCGCAGGGTGTTCAAATACTTCTGTTCCTCACTGTACATTTTAAAATAAATGTTTGGTAACTGTTTTACCTGCCAAAGTATTTGTTTTGTGTTCAGCCAACATTTTAATCCAGGCACTCCTGCCATCCAATATAGCCAGCTTTTTTAATGCCACTACAGCAGCATCACCAGATTATTCAAAAAACACACCTACGGCCTACATAGTGAATGCTGTCAGTATATGTGCATGCAACAGATCCTGATTTCCTGCACCTCCTGTCTCAGTGTTGCTGCACAGAATTATGGAGGGTAATATCAAGACAAATTTAGATAATTACATGAATTGCATTTAAGTATACATTTTGAGGGCTCTTTAGAAAGGCTCAGATAGCTGTGTATGCCAGTTTTGGAGAGTTTGAATTCTTTAAACACCTTTCAAAGACCAGCTCAATGTTTTCCAGTATGCCAGTCAGTTTTTATAACTAATAATTTGACAGGGATGTACCTTGGTGTGACTAAAGGAACCGAAAGTCTGAGTAGAGGACTTATACATACCAACTGGTCCTTCATGGGAAACTGTATGGAGACTGAAGGACAGTTCCTTTTCAGGATTATTAAGCAACTCCTTCCTCTTGGAAAATGCCTTTGCAATCATTTTACTTTTCTTGATTCTCTTTGGTTCATCATCACTGCGACCTAAAATTCTGTTCATTATAGGCATAAAATGAAACACTGATGAAGTTACAGTATAGTATATAGTTATTATCCAAATAAAAGCCAACATAACCTTTAACCACTTTTATTCCGGACACTTTCATCCCCTTCCTGTCCAGGCCAATAAATAATCTTTCTTCATAAATCTTGGCCAAAATGTATTCAGCTATCTTTTTAGTAAAAAAAAAAAAACATAACCCAAATTAGTTTATAACCAAATATTATAATGTTTTTACAAATATTTTTACATTTTAATTTTTTTTTTATCTTATTATTTATATTTTTTTTGGAAAGTGGTTAAAAGAAGAACTCCTGTCAACACTTGACAGGTTAAAGGGAAAAACTACTTCCCTGTATGTGCTTTTTTTGTTTGTGGATACATTATTTGGTGGAAACTGAATAAATCATACAGATTTTAGCCTTTATCCAATATTTAAAGAGTAACTCCACTTTTTTTGCATTTCCCTTTGGGTGATCAATGTACTTTTCAAGGATTTTAACAAACTTTGTTGCAGAATCCTTCCTTATTATTCTGAAGAAGCAGCTGTTTGTTTGTCTGTGTCCATGTGCAGAATGAATCTATATGGTGGAGATTTTATAATTATCAATCAGCTGCTGCACGTGCAAGGCTCTGATGAGGAAAGTGTCAGTATCTTCATCTCTTTAGATGTGATTTCCCTTTGGGAGTATATGATATGATTTTTTTTTTGATGTTGCAGGGGATGCCCAAAAGTAGTATCTTAGTGCAGATTTCTAGGAAAATCAGAGCGCCAATCACAGAAGCAGGAAATGACATGTCTAGGGGGAGGTGGGTATGTACACAATCAATGTACAGAATACCTCCAGGTTCCCATATTGCATTTCATTTGATAGACAATTACAGCACTGCAGATTGAAAAGGAAAGGCCATTTGTAATAACATCCAATTACAATACAGTATGCCTTGTGTAGCAATTGTATATGCTGTATTGTTTGTTTTTATTTGCTATTTTCTCACACAAAACTGGAGTTACCCTTTAAGCCTGTCACAGAAAATCTGGTGTTTTTAGATTCAGGATAGATCCATCCAACACTCCACCATCCCCTTATTCAGTTCCTTTGAGTAGAGGTGAACAGGTAAGTAGGTCCACATAGTGTGTAATCCAGCCTTTCTCAACCAGGGTGCCCAGGCATCCTGGGGTGCCTTGAGGTTTCTTCAGGGGTGCCTTGGCAAAATTTCTAAAAAATGCCCAAAACTTGTATACAAACCAATGGGTGGAACAAGCCTGCCTTTTAGTTTTCATTGCGCACCATTACGACCTTCTAGCCAACCTTCTTCCCAAAAAGAAAAAAAAAATACTGTTCCCGTAACAGCTTAACGCCTCGTTCACACGAGGTGTACTAAAGCATACACCTGTGGGGGGCCATGGTTACCTGCATGAGGATGCACAGGAGTTTCATGCATCCCCACCATCCCAATGCACAGCCCTGACAGTGTGTGTTCGGGGCTGCGTACCTACACCTGTCAAATTGGGAGCAGTGACTGTGTCTGTCCAGCTGCTGTGTCCAATTGACATCAATGGGACTGCCTGCATGGGGATGCACAAAACACCTGTGCATCCACATGCGGATAAACACAGCTCTCCATGGGTATACGCTTTAACATGCCCCATGTGACCGAAGCCTAAAAAGTGTTAGCTGGAGTTTGGCGTTAATTTGTTAGGGTTGCCACTCCATCCCTTTAAATCCGAAGACATATTAATTACACAGGTGAATTTAATACAAATAAGGCACTAAGCGGGTTTAATTACCACCTTAATCAGCCACAGAACCTGTGTAATTAATATTTGTTCGGGTTTAAAGGGATGACATGGCAACACTATTGTTAGTCAAGTCCATCCAAATCTGCTAGTTCATCTAACCCTACCCTTTCCCCAGACTGACATTGCTGCTGTCCACAGGTCTCTTCGTTGCTTTTCCACACAGGATGAAGACACCTTAAAACTAAAAGTGTACTACTGATTGAATCACCATGTAAAAATAAAGGGTAAAAGCCTAAAAATACGAATGCGGCCACCACATTTATGCCCCATTCACACCTGAACGTTTTGTAGCTTGAAGTTCCAAAAAGCTTGAGGAGCAAAAAAAAAAAAATCAATATTTCTCAATGGAGATGGTTCATACCTCCACTCCAAGTTGCCTGAAGCTCAAAAAAGTTCTGGAGCTTTTTGTAGCTCAAATTGGGCAGATTTGCGCATTTTTGGAGTGTTTTTATTCCCATAGAAATTAATGAAAATGTGCGCATTTTGTGTGATTTTATGTTTAAAATGAAAAAAACAAATTGTAATAATATATGGATGAATAAATGTAAAATAAATAAAATAAATACACAAATAAGTGAAAATCATAATAAATAAAAAATAAACTAAATACATGAATATGTAGTAAATAATATTAACCCCTAACATTAACCCCCTAACCCTAAAAATAATAATAAATTAAAACCCAAACAGAAAGAAATTAATAATAATAATTTATGACTATTATCATTATTAAATTAATCATAATAATAATTTATTTAGGCTTAGAGTGTTTATTAATTTATTATTAATATTCATTTATTTGTTTTAAGAGTTAGGCGGTTAAGGTTAGGAGTTCATTATTATTTTTTTTATTATTATTATTACATAGTATTAATTTATTGTATTGATTATTTATTTATGATTTTTTTTATTTGTGCATTTATTTTACATTTATTTATTTATTTATTATTATTATTAGTAGTGGTAGTGGTAGTAGTAGTAGCAGCAGCATAATTATTAAAACCCTAACCCTAGTAAAAAAAAAAAAAAAAAAAATAAATAAATAAGAAGACAATAAAATATTAACCCCTAACCCAAACCCCCAATCCTAACCCTAAGCCCAACCCCTAATTCTAACCCTAACCCTAACCTAACCTTAACTCTAACCTCTTACCCCACCACAAAAAAAATGAATATTAATAATAAAAAAAATAAAAGCTGATGGAAAAGCTAAAAAAACTGAAAAACATAGGAACAAATGAAGCAACAGATGCGTGCCTCTGAAATGCAGCCTCAAGGATTGATGAGCTGCAATATATTACATTTTTGGTGTTGGGTTTAATACTGCTGCATAAAAGGTTGTATAAAAAGGGGAGGGGCAGAGGAGCTGCAACATCACAGAATGTCTCTTCTTCACTTCTAGAAGAGGAGAGGGCTATGACCCTGGGGGAGTGGGAGAGAAGAGGAACTGTTGTTCTAGGGAATTGAATCTTCCTAAGGTCGTCACACTCCCTACAAGTTAAAAGACTCATTAAAAATAAAAAAAGTGTTTATAGAAATAAACAACGCTGCAAGTAAGTTTTCAAAATACTTTCATTTCTGTGCTTTTCACTGCAAGTTGGTGACAGGGTCTATTTGATATAAGCTTTTCTAACCTTACAACACAAATACATCTATGTTCTTTATAAAGAAAAAGGTCAATATCATTTAATGTATTATCACAAGATGCAGCGCTAATGACTATAACATATATGCATAAATCAAGAAATCTGTCATAAATACTAAACAGTAGAAAGTTCATAAAATGGGTGACTTTAGTGCTCTCTTCTCTATATATCCTCCTGATGGTCAGGCGTTTTGTGTGCAGAATAGTGCTGAAGGGGTGCACACTCACCAGAACGCACAGATAAATGAGCGTTTATTATAGATTCCCCTTTAGGATCATCAACTGGACATGCTGTGGTATTACGACAAAACACCTTCCAGACCTCCTAGATGTTCCTGTATATTCCCTGGTTTAGATGACCTGCGTACTTCTCCTTAGGATCAGCATACGATTCGTACCCCACAGAGAGATGAGTGGCTAGAATGGGTACTCCCCAAGGGAGTCAGAACAAAACGCATCCATAGTGTAGTAGGTTATAAGGATTTATTTAAAATTCAGCAACCCGTGTACACGGAGTAGGAGGAGCCAAGAACGCCGTGACGTCATACCGCCGGAGCATCGTGGCGCTCCGGCGGTCATTTTTAATACTGGACGGTTAGTCCATTTTGTTTACCTTATACCGTGTACACGGGTTGCTGAATTTTAAATAAATCCTTATATGACCTACTACACTATGGATGCGTTTTTGTTTCTGACCCCTTGGGGAGTACCCATTCTAGCCACTCATCTCTCTGTGGGGTACGAATCGTATGCTGATCCTAAGGAGAAGTACGCAGGTCATCTAAACCAGGGAATATACAGGAACATCTAGGAGGTCTGGAAGGTGTTTTGTCGTAATACCACAGCATGTCCAGTTGATGATCCTAAAGGGGAATCTATAATAAACGCTCATTTATCTGTGCGTTCTGGTGAGTGTGCACCCCTTCAGCACTATTCTGCACAAACGCCTGACCATCAGGAGGATATATAGGAGAAGAGAGCACTAAAGTCACCCATTTTATGAACTTTCTACTGTTTAGTCATTTATGACAGATTTCTTGATTTATGCATATATGTTATAGTCATTAGCGCTGCATCTTGTGATATATATTGTTTTGAGGGTGTTTGGTACCTTATGCTCAGCTGCTATATAGATGCGCTCGTATTTATTCTTTTTGAATATCATTTAATGTGTTTTAAAAAAAAACAATACTGCTCAAAATCCGAGTTCTCTGTGATAAGCGCACATTGAACCTATTTTATAATTCCATCTTCAACAGAAAATTCCCCAACTACTTTTTCCATATTCATTTTATTATTCTTTCATTTTGGTAATTTTCACCTTTAAGTGGTTATAAAGCCTAAACATTTTTTACCTCAAAGTGGTTCTAACGGCAGAAGTTTTTTTTTTACCTTACTGAACTCTATGCATTAAGGTAAAAAACCTTCTGCGTGCAGCTTCCCCCTCAGCACCCGCTTCTCTACCCCCTTATACTTACCTGAGCCTGATCTCGATCCAGCGATGTACATGAGAGCAGCGACTCTCCTGGGTCTCATTCTCCTCATTGGTTCACACAGCAGTGGGACCCATTTGCTCCTGCTGCTGTCAATCACAGCCAGTGAGCCAATGAAGAGAGAGTGGGGGCGGGACCAAGCCACACTCTGTGTGTGAATGGAGCCTGCTTGAGTGCCCCCACAGCAAGAGGCTTGCTTTTGAGGGCACTTGGAGGGGGAAGGAGCCAGGACTGCCAGGGGGGACCCAAAAAGGAGAGGATCAGGGCAGCTCTGTGCAAAACCATTACACAGAGCAGGTAAGTATGACATTTATAAAAAAATTACAACATTTACAATCACTTTATTTCATTTAGGTAAAAAATATTTTTATAGTAGCACCCCCCCCTCACACCCTTCCCCCTTATACTTACCTGAGCCCCCATTCAATCCAGCACTGCGCTCATCAGCAGCTCTCTCTCCTTACTTTCTAGTCTTACAGGCTCTGCTGAGGCAACAGCAGCCATCCCATTGCTGTCATTCAAAATCAGTGGGGGATTCTCTGTGCCTATGGATGCAGGCAACAGGGTTCTGGAGCATACCCACAGGTGTGCCCCCATAGGAAGCAGCACTCGCTAGAGGAGGAGCTAAGAGTGCTGGTGGGAGACCTGAGAAGAGGAAGTTTGGGTCCGCTCTGTGCAAAAACCATTGCACAGAACAGGTAAACATAAACCTATTTGTTATTTAATTTTTTTGCTTTTACAATCACTTTAATGCATAGCTATTATAAATAAAAATAATTTACATAACCAGAAAGACCAGGTGTCAACAAGTGCCTGTACAAATTTGGATTTCAGGAAACAATCAGTTGTGTACCTGTGGGGCTTCCAAGTCTATGACTTTATCTCCAAGTTATAGATCTGTCTGATCTGCTATTAGACCAGTAAGTAGTGCAGGTACCTGCCTATTGACCACTGAGGCACCTGCATTGTGTGGGGCATACCAGAGGGGATGAGGTTGGATCTGTAACTTGAAGCCGAAATTATGGCTGTTACAGAGTGTGCCAGGCAAGGTTGGAGGCTCCTTGGACGCACACAAGAATATTTATTGAAATCTGAAGGTATGTGGTACAGCGGTCTTGCCGTAAACATTTCTGTTGTCAGATTGTCAGACATGACAGGATGATTGCTGTGGTCTTACCTGCACCAGGCTCTCTTCCAGATGATAATGGTTGCCTTGGTCCACACCCACGTACTCATGGCTATGCCAGTGCCAAACATGGCAAAGAGGTTAATCTTCTCAACCAGGAGGCTGGGCCTGTTCTTTATTTCACACTCTGGAATGGGCTTATTAGTTTGGGCTGCAATAGTCACATTGGCTTCGCACCTTAAGGACAGCAAAAGTCAAAAGTACATGATTTAGAACCCTGAGACCAGAAGGATAAAAGTTTCGCATGTTGGTTCTTACATCTGGGTGTGTTGTGTGCAGGGCCGGATCTAGAGGGGAGCTGGGGTGGGCTGTGCCCCCTCCCCCCCAATTTTTCTTGTGCTCCCTCCCCCCAGATTTTGCTTGTGTCCCCCCAGATCTCTGAGAGTGCATCCACTGATCCACTGAGCCAGTTTGATGCAGAAGGTTGATTTAAGGGGCACTCTGATGAGGGCACCTGATGTAAGGGGGCACTCTCATGGAGGCAGCTGATGTAAGGGGGCACTCTGATGGGGACAGCTGATGTAAGGGGGCACTCTGATGGGGACAGCTTATTTAAGAGGGCCCTCTGATGGGGACAGCTTATGTAAGAGGGCCCTCTGATGGGGACAGCTGATGTAAGGGGCACTCTGATGGGGTTAACTGATGTAAGGAGGCACTTTGATAGGGATAACTGACCATATGTGAGGGGACATTCTTATGAGGACAATTGACTCAAGGAGGGGCTCTGTTAGGGACACTGATGTAAGGGGGCACTCTGAAGGTGACACCTGATGTATAGGGGCACTGTGATGGGGACACTGATGTAAGGAGGCACGTTGATAGGGATAACTTACTATATGTAAGGGGACATTCTTATTAAGATAATTGATTCAAGGAGGGGCTCTGTTAGGGACACTGATGTAAGGGGGCACTCTGATGGTAACACCTGATGTAAGGGGGCACTCTGATGGGGACACTGATGTAAGGAGGCACTTTGATAGGGATAACTGACTATATGTAAGGGGACACTCTTATTAAGATAATTGATTCAAGGAGGGGCTCTGTTAGGGACACTAATGTAAGGGGGCACTCTGATGGTGACACCTGATGTACGGGGGCACTCTGATGGGGACACTGATGTAAGGAGGCACTTTGATAGGGATAACTGACCATATGTAAGGGGACACTCTTATTAAGATAATTGATTCAAGGAGGGGCTCTGTTAGGGACACTAATGTAAGGGGGCACTCTGATGGTGACACCTGATGTACAGGGGAACTGTGATGGGGACACTAATGTACGGGGTACACTGATGGGGACACGATGTAAAGGGAGACTCCGATTAGTAGTCACGATGTAGAGAAGCACTCTGAGGACTCCTGATGTAAACGGGGTCTCTGATAGGACATCTGATATAAGGGAGCACAGGTTTTGTTTAATCACCGTAATCTAATGACAGTCTAATACATACTAGTGTTTCCCAGGTCGTAACACTGTGTGACAGACTGTCAGTGACTCACACATAGTGTTGACATTATGCCCCCTGACTTTTTTTATTGCACCCCCCGATCAGATAGGCTAGATCCGGCCCTGGTTGTGTGGTGATCTTCCAAGATGCTACAATTCCCTGTACAACGGCATAAAGTGTTAGCAGAGGAGCTTGTGTCTGGTAGGATGTTGTTGCTCTTTGAACAATAAAGTAAGCAGTGGTGGTAGGGCCTGTACGTTTTGTTCTTGTATGACCTTCTCAGCTAAAGTCCAAATTTCACCAACTTAGCAATGGTGTCACACTTCCTGAAGAAATTCTCTAAATGTAGAGTAAGCAAATAATACAAATATTGGCCACAAAAGTAGAAACTAGAAAAGGTCACCTGTGAACCCACATCCCAGCCTGAATTTGTAATACACTCCCTACCCACAGCCAGTTTAAACTCACTTGTAAAAGAAAACACAACCTGTCTATGAGATTCCAGCTATGAGTGTACATTTGACTGGACCAACTGAATCAGCTTTCTAAGTGTTGGCTAAGTGTATATTTAAATTATGAAATTAATAATTTATGTTGCCATAATAATACCCAGAATTGTAACTTTCCCCTACTGACACACCCTTGCCCAAACATTTCAAGCTACATGTTCTAGCAGTCAATTTGCAACTACTATTGCTCCTTCTGAATGTTATGTAACCCTTAAAGTGGTTGTAAATGCCAGATATAAAATATGAACAAAGTATAACCCTCTATAGTGTGTAATTGTCTCAATCCAGAGCACTAAGTGTTATTTCTGTCTGCTGCCTAGTTCCTCTGCTATCAGCATAAATAACTTCTGAAGAGTTTTCCTGACACCAAGAGAGAAAAGGGAGCATGGGAGGGCACAGTCTGTGATTGACAGCTTTAGTTATGTTCCTGTGTGCTGTGCCAATGGGGTGTGTCCCTTCCCTCCAATCAGCTCTCAGAACTACCCTCATTGAGTGTAAATCAGCTCCCCGCCCCCTGTTTTTCAGAGCTGAGAGATCCTGTGTAAATTCTGCACTATAAATGGAAGTAGGGGACAGATGGCTGTAGATAAATAGGTGCAACCTATGTAGGAAGATTTGTTTAATCTCTGTGTATCACCTGAGGCCAGTCACTTCACTGGGTATATGTGAGGGTTTACAACCCCTTTCAGTAAATATAACTGTAAGAGTTTGATTGTTTTCAGCCACATAATTCTCTATTCAATTTGACTATTACAGCCCCAGTCCTATCTGCGCCCTGTGTCCCATCCTTACTTCTAGTGATAGCAGTTCTTACAGAAGAAGAGAACTTTAAACACATCACTGAATATGGGAGATGTAAGTAGTAGGCGGGAATGGTGCATTTTTTTCTACTATTAAAAACATACAGCTGAATGATTATTTGCAACCCATTTTTACAGAAAAGATACAATTAGGTCCATATATATTTGGACACAGGCACAATTTTCATACTTTTGGCTCTGTATGCCACCAGAATAAATTAAAATGAAACAACCCAAATTAATTTGGAGTGCAGACTTTCAGCTTTAATTCAAGAGGTTGAACATAAATATCAAGTACAAATTTTAGGAACTGCAACCATTTTTATACACAGTCCCTCCATTTTCAGGGTCTCAAATGTAATTGGACAAATGAATATATTCATAAAATGTTCATTTTTTTAAATATTTTGTTGAGAATCCTTTACTGGCAATGATTGCCTGAAGTCTGGAACCCATGGACATTACCAAAGACTGAGTCTCCTCCTTTATTATGCTTTGCCAGGCTCTAACTGCAGCTGTCTTCAGTTGTTCTTTGTGGGTCTTTCTGCCTTTAGGTTTGCCTTCAGCAAGTGAAATGCTTGCTCAATTGGGTTGAGATCAGGTGATTGACTCAGCCATTGCAGAATATTCCACTTCTTTTCCTTCAAAAGCTCCTGGCTTGCTTTTGCAGTGTGTTTTGGATCATTTTTCTTCTGTACTGTGAAGCCCTGTCCAATCAACTTTGCTGCATTTGGCTGAATCTGGGCTGACAGTATATCTCTAAACACTGCAGAATTCATTAGGCTGCAGCTGTCACATCATCAATAAATACCAATGACCCAGTGCCACTGGAAGCCATGCATGTCCATGCCATCACCCTGTCTGCACCATGTTTTATAGATGACATTGTATGCTTTGGATCATGAGTTGTTCCAAGCCTTCTCCACACATTTTTCTTCCTGTCATTCTGGTATAGATTAATCTTAGTTTCATCCATCCAAAGAAAGCTTTTCCAGAACTGGTCTGGCCTTTTTAAATATTTTTTTGGCAAAGTCTAATCTGGCTTTTCTATTCTTCAGGCTTATGAATGGTTTGAACCTTCTGGTGAACCCTCTGTATTTGCTCTCATGAAGTCTTCTCTTGATTGTAGACTTTGGCAGTGATATGTCCACCTTCTAGAGAGTGTCCTTCACCGGTCTTGATGTTGCGATTGGGTTTTTCTTTACCATAGAGAGGGATCCTGCGATTATCCACCACTGTTGTCTTCCATGGACGTCCATGCCTCTTTTATGTTGCTGAGCTCACCAGTACGTTCTTCTTTCCTCAGAATGTACCAAACTGTTGATTTGGCCACTCCTAATGTTGCTGCTATCTCTCTGATGGATTTGTTTAATTTTTGAAGCCTTACAATGGCCTGTTTCACTTGCATGGACAGCTCCTTTGAATGCATGATGTAGATTCACAGCAATAGATTCCAAATGCAAATACCACACTTAGAATCAACTCCAGACCTTTTACCTGCTTAATTGATTAAGAAATAACGAAGGAGTAGCCCACACCTGGCCATGAAACTTTTTGTCCAATTACTTTTGGTCCCTTGAAAAAGGGGGGTGGCTACTCTTAAGAGCTGTAATTCCTAAACCCTTCCTCAAATTAAACCTGAGAGTGCGCACTTTCAGCCCATATCCATTATATAACTATAGCTTGAGTATGCTTTGGTAAATACCTGAAAAAAACTGAAATTGTGCCTGTGTCCAATTATATATGGACGTAACTGTACGTTTAGAGTATGAAGCAGGATATTGCTTGACTGATAATACTCACAAGACATATTCACGAAAACTTCTCTCCCACTCTGCCTGGTTAAAGAAGTCATAGAAATGACAGCTGAAGGTGATAAGTACAAATCCAAAGGCTAAGAATCCAAATATTCCTGTATCAGAACACAGCACAAAGGGCACATTTATTAAAAAAAAATTACAACAATTAAACAAATCACACAGGATAGGTTTTACCAACAGCATGCAAACAGTCATATACAGTTGTGCTCAAAAGTTTGCATACCCTGGCAGAAATTGTGAAATTTTGGCATTTATATTGAAAATATGGCTGATTATGCCAAAAAATGCTCTTTTATTGAAGGATGTTGATCATATGAAGTCATTTATTATCAAATAGTTGTTTGGCTCCTTTTAAAACTATAATGATAACAGAAATCACCCAAATGGCAATGATCAAAAGTTTACATACCCTGGAATGTTTGGCTTTGGTATAGACACACAAGGTGACACACACGGGTTAAAATGCCAATTTGAGGTTAATGTCCCACATATATGGCTTTTTAATTGCAATTAGTGTCAGTGTATAAATAGTCAATGAGTTTGTTAGCTCTTACGTGGAAGCACTGAGTAGGCTAGATAGTGAGCCATGGGGATCAGAAAAGAACTGTCAAAAGTCCTGCGTAACAAAGTAAAGGAACTTTATAAAGATGGAAAAGGACATAAAAAGATGTCCAAAGCCTTGAATATGCCAATCAGTACTGTTAAATCACCTATTAAGAAGTGGAAAGTTATGGGATCTCTTGATACCAAGCCAAGGTCAGGTAGACCAAGAAAGATTGCAGCCATAACTGACAGAAGAATTTTTCGGGATTCAAAGAAAAACCCACAGACAACCTCAAAAGAAATACAGGCTGCTCTGGAAAAAGATGGTGTGGTTGTTTTTAAGGAGTACAATACGGTGATACTTGAACAAAAATGAGCTGTTTGGTGGAGGTGCCAGAAAGAAGCCACAGAACCTGTGGAATTAATATGTGTTCAGTTTTAAAGGGATGAAATGGCAACCCTAGATCTTCTTCCCATGCTAGCTGTCACAATTTTTAAAATACGAGGCCAGGCGGGGCTCCACCTGCACAGCCGTGTCGTCCATTCACAGAGTTCTGTAAATGGGAAGCTCTTGACAGTCTTGACAGCCTTTGCAGACATTGGCTTGTAGTTCTCAGTAAACTGCTACAGCACTGTTGAGCGCTCTGGTAGTTCATGGATCATTCCTGTCAGTGTGAAACTGCCTGCCCCTACGATGTATGAGCAGACAGATTACACTGACAGTTTGCAGGAGACCTGGATGGCACCAGCGACCTGCTGATCACTGGTGCAATGCTTTCCAGGCTCTTAAAACCAAAAAATAGTAAATATAATTTTTTTTTACCTGCAACAAAATGTGCATTTATTACTTTTCGTTAAAAGGTGAATTTAGCCTTTAATATCCTATTTAATGCTAAGCAAATATTTGTATGCTAGAGTGAACTCTTCAAAATGTATGACATTTAAAGAGATCACACGGATTAAGTTTGTGTAGGTGGCTGATCATCACATACACAGCCAATCTGCAATTATTGGCCACACATTTCAGATGACTGAATTGTATGTCTGGCCAAATGAAAAAGAAACTGATGTACATTGCTGCACCACATTAACACTTCCCCATGTTTTATCTCTTTAAAAGCACTACAAGTAAAGAAAAATATATGTGGATCTGCCAGAAATCCATCCCTATGAAATCTCAAGCAGTATTATCAGCCCTGACAAGTCATTCCTTCTGGACTACAGAATGCCTTGCCTTCTTAATTTCCATAACATAGGAGAAGCTGTTCTGTATTTCTGTACAGGAGAAATGGGCAGTGATGACAACACTGCTTGATATTTCAGCGTCCCATAACAAATGTTGTCACGCTAAACAAGAAGGTAGAAGCCCAATGGATTTATGGTATGAAAAAAAAGGCATTTCTCTGTGCTTGCAGATAAAACATTGAAAATGGAGAGAAAGCAGCAGATACCAATTTTTATTACAGGAAACTCTGCATAGAGGCAGAGATTCACACTTAATTTCTGCATAGATCTGGAAGAAATTGATAAAGCATACCAAGATTCAAGAAATATTTAGAGAATATTTGCTTATCCTGGGGTTCAGCTTTAAATTACTCAGAGATTGAATAGGAATTTAGTTACCTAGCCGCAGCATGGTCTCATTAATTTTACTGGCAGCTTTCTCACTGAGGAGTCCTGGATGATTGCTTTTGATAGAAAATAATGTCATTACACCTATAGGAAAAATGTAAAAAGAGAAACAATGTGAACAACATTATGCACAATTAAAAAAAAAGTGTATATGAATATAAGTGCATCCACTTCAAACACATTTAAATTGTGAATTTTTGCAAATGTACACTGGAAAATTTCAGCCTAGTTTTGGATCATTTCAGATTAGGATGAATAATAATAATATAACTGTAACAATCCTAAGGAATTAGACATAAATTCAATTATATTACTCAATCACCCACGACCAATAGTAAGGACATAATTAGGATTTTCCCCTTTATACAAAAGCACAAACACTAAGGTCATGAAATACCAGTGATACAGCAAAATACACTTAGAACTCCATCCAAGTCCTGGCTGGGAAACTCATAGTTCTTTTGAGATTGGTTATGTCTGCCAACATTTGATTCCATAGGGGCTGCACAGCCTAAATTAGTTCTAAATAATGCAGTTACTAAGACTTTGCTTTAGTATCAATCAGATGTAGGCGGTGTGGCAATAATTCAAGAGGACCTGTAGCCTTTTCAAATTTGTGTCACACACATACAGAAAGCTTTTAATTTCATCTTAACCACTTGCCTACCAGGTACTTTTACCCCATTCCTGCCTAGGCCAATTTTCAGCTTTCATAACTGTCGCACTTTGAATGACAATTGCACGATCATGCAACACTGCCCCTATATTACATTTTTATAATTTTTTTTTCACACAAATAGAGCTTTCTTTTGGTGGTATTGAATCACCACTGGGTTTTTTATTTTTTTGCACTATAAAAAAAATAGGCCAAAAAATTTTAAAACAAAAGTTTTTCCTTGTTTCCATTATAAACTTTTGCAAACATGTAACTTTTCTCCTTTACTGATGAATGTTGATGAGGCTGCATTGATGGGCACTGATGAGGCAGCACAGATAGGCAGCACTGATGGGCACTAATAGGCTGCACTTATGAGGTGGCACTGGTGGGCATTGATGAGGAGGCACTGATGAGGCTGCACTGATATGCGGCACTGATGGGCAGTGATAGGTGGCAATGATGGGCACTGATGGACACTAATAGGCAGCACTGACAGCACAAATTGGCAGCACTGCTGGGCACTGATGGTCAGCACTGTTGGGCACTTTTAGGGCTGCACTGATAATCAGTGCCCTGTGATTGGAGACAGCTGATCACGTGGTAAAAGGCCGCTGTGATTGGCTCTTTACTGTGTCATGTGATCAGCTGTGTCCAAAGGACACAGCGATCACAGAGAGCACCGTGCGGGGGAGGGGCGTTCTGGGAGGACGTCATATGATGTCCGACCAGAACTGAATGGTCGCGCTGTAGCTGTCATTCGGCTATACCCACATGGAAGAAAAATATATTTAAGAAAATCTGAAGAATATATTTAAAAAAAAATATTTTTAAAACTATATATTTTTTAAATATATTTTTCAGATTTTTGTTAACATATAAAACAGTAATTTTAACATATACTTTTACATATATTTGTAAATGCATTCCAAAAATGTAGATTTGTATATATTCAACATGCAGTACATATATATATATATATATATATATATATATATATATATAAATATTTTGAAATATATTGAATACGACCAAAATTGTAGTATTTCAAATATTTGGCAATATGTTTGGGAAGAATATTTTTAAAATATATTTCAAATATATTTTTCTTCCATATGGGTAGTGTGGTCAAGCTTAATCAATTAAGCTTTAACAATAAAACCTGGAAGCTGATTGGTTTCTATGCAGAGCTGCACCAGGTTTTGCACAGTCCAGTTTCTTAAAAATCCCCCCATACTGTCAATTACATACTGTATATGGTAGCCAGAAACCATGTGATCTTTGTCTAGGCTGTAAGTGACATAATGGTGTTTATTTGCTAAAGACAAATTGAGAGTGTACTTTGCAAGTTCAGTTGCTCTTTGTAAGTGCAATTGCTCCAGAGCTTAGCAAATGAGGTAAAACTTCACTTTACAAAGAATGCCTAATCACATGCATGGGAAACAAAAAAAAACAGCATTTTGCTTGCACATGATTGGATGATGGATTTCAGCAGTGTTACCACATTTACTAAGCTCCGGAGCCACTACACTTGCTTGCAAAGTGCACAGTCTATTTGCCTTTAATGATTCAACCCCTATGTGCACAATTGTTTTTTTTAACGTATTGTTATTTTTTATTAGTGACATGTGGTTTATTGGTTCATGTAACACATAATTTTGTAATCAGTTAAGCACATGGCTCATACTTCCTAGATCTGCATAGCACAGCTGCTGTCAGTGATTTAACCCCCAAATAACCCCTTAATGCAAGCAAAAATGTATAAACTGATTTAATTTAAAGAAAAATCATTAATTTTAATTGCACATTTGCCATGTTTTGTATTAGAAACATGTTGGTGTCATGGCTATCAGGCTTCATCACAGAAATAAATATGTACTTATTTAAAATTATCCCTAGTGAAAGTGGAAAAAGCTTAATTTACTTCTTTCTACTTAAAATATAGAGAACATTATATCATATATTTTTGGAAGCATTGATCCCTCCACCACACTCATCCTCCCAAAAAACATATCTTCATTCTGTATAGTATGTAATAATAAGTTACTACCAAACAGGGGCGGACTGACAACTCATGGGGCCCCCGGGCAATAGGGGATCATGGGGCCCCTGTGTCCTTGCCCAAACTCAAAAAAGCCTATGAAAAAGGTACCAGGGGCATCTCATGGGGCCCCCTACTGACCCCGGGCCCTCAGGCAGTTCCTGAGTTTCCAAATGGTCAGTCCGCCCC